GATATTATTAAAAAAAAAAAAATCCTAAATTTATTTTTGTAAGAAAAAAAAATGTGTGTATATATATATATATATATATATTTAAAAGGAAAAAAAAAAACAAAAAAAAACAAAACCAACGTAGGCAGAATCCGAGTTCTATTTCATGGAGTAATAAAGGCTGAAAGGTGTCCAGTGAGAGGAACGATGCTAATTAGGTTCTGTGACAGCCCTGAAAAGCCGACCCTTGGGAGTCGTTGCACTTCACCAAACGGAAGCTTGAATTTTAGGCAGGAATCGTGGGTTTTGTTTCATTTTTGTCTATCGTTCATTTCTGCCCCCCTTCCCCCCCCCGCCCCCCCCCCTCAACCACCCCCCTTCTTTTTTCTTTTTTGCTTTTTTTTTAATTTTTATTATTATTATCCTTTTTTTTTTTTTCTTTTTTTTTTTTTCTGTTGTTGCTTCTTCTTCAATGTTCCATAGCCAGTGCTGGGCCAGACGTGCATCCCCCACTGCCCCCCTTGTTGTGCTGTGGGGCCGGAACCGGAGGCCTGGTGTCACTGGGACCAGTGCTGTGGGCCTGGCACCATTGGGCCCGGTGCTGTTGGGCCCAGAACCACCAACCCAATGCCACCAGGCCCGGTATTTTGGGCCTCGTGCCATTGGGCCCAGCTCTTAGGCCCGGTGCCACTGGGCCTGGTGCCATGAACCTCTGGGCCCGGTGCTGTCAGCCCAGTGTCACCAGAGCAGTGCTGTGGGCCCGGTGCCGTAGGCCCAGTATTTCAGGCCTCTGGGTGCCGCTGGGCCCGGTTCTGTTGGGCCTGGCCCTGTAGGCCCGGTGCTGTAGGCCTCTGGGCCTGGTCCTGTGGGCCCAGCGCTGTTGGATCCGGTGCTGTAGGCCCAACGCTGCTGAGCCCAGCACTGTGGGTCTGATCTGGGCCCAGTGCTGTTGTGTTCGGAACCGTTGGCCCGGTACCAGCAGGACCAGCACTGCGGAGCTGGCTCTGTTGGGCCCGGTGCTGCAGGCTCAGTGCTGTTGGGCCTGCGGTGCCATTGGCCTCTGGGCCTGGTCCTATGGGCCCGGTGCTGTTGGGCCTGGCACCACTGGGCCTGGTACCATTGGCCTGGTACCATTGGGCCTGGTTCCACTGGGCCTGGTTCCTCTGGACCTGGCACCATTGGCCTGGTTCCATTGGGCCTGGTTCCATTGGGCCTGGTTCTTCTGGATCTGGCACTGTTGGTCTGGTTCCGTTGGGCCTGGTTCCACTGGGCCTGGTTCCACTGGGCCTGGTTCCGTGGGCCTGGCACCACTGGACCTGGCACCACTGGCCTGGTTCCACTGGGCCTGGCACTGTTGGTCTGGTTCCATTGGGCCTGGTTCCATTTGGCCTGGCACCATTGGCCTGGTACCACTGGGCCTGGCACCACTGGCCTGGTTCCATTGGGCCTGGTTCCATTGGGCCTGGCACCACTGGCCCGGTACCACTGGCCCGGTGCCGTCTGCATGCTGCAGCCTTTGGCCCATTGCTGCCCCAGGCCCAGCAGCACGCAGGCCATGGCGGGGGCTGCCAGCCCTATCTCTGCCCGAGGGCCACGTCTGGTGCAGCAGATAACGCCACCCCCCTCCCCCCAACAAACCCAGCGCCCTGCATGGCGCAGGGTCCCCCCCCTTCATCCCCCCCCCCGTCCCCACGATGGCAGCGAGTGCCTTGGCTGGACGTCCCCGCAAAGGGACGGGGACGCAGGGCCGACCCTCTGCTCAGTGCTGGCATATGCAAAAACTCGCGCGGACGTGTAAATAGAGTTACTTGAGGTTCTTGTAATCGAGTCGTGGTATCTCTTTTCTAGTTTGTGTCACTGCTCCTCTTTGTCCCCCACCTCTCCTCGGCCCCAAAGGAACATTGCGACGAAACAAAGCCCCCAACGCCCTCCTCCCCCCCACCCCAAAGGCAAAAAAAGGAGGAAAACAAAACAAAACAAAAAGGAGAAAACGATAAAAAGCGAAAGGAGCAGAGAGAGGTCGCGTGTATCTGTGTGCGTGTGTGAGTGTGTGTGAGTGTGAGTGTGTGTGTGTTAGACTCAGGATGCCCCACGGATGGACTGACGGACACTACGCCGACCGCGCCGCCGGACGGACGCACCGTTTGCTGGCAACACTTTAGCACAAGTTGGAAGTTTGCACTAAAATAATAATAATAAAAAAAAAACAGCGGGGCAAATAAAGGAAAAAGGAAGAAAAAAAAAAAAGGAGAAAAATGGAGAAACGGGGAGAAAAATAAAGAAATGGGGAGAGGAGGGGGAGAAAAACGGGAAGGAGGAATGAGGAGATGAGATGGAAAAAGAGGTGAGGGGATGGGTGAGAAATGAGTAAAAAAAAGAAATCAAGGGTTAGGGGAAAATGAGTGGAAAATAAATAAGCGAAAGGAAAGCAAAAATTGGGGAAAAAAAAGGAAGGAAAATGAGTGATAATCAGAGAAAAAAAAACAAACGGGCGTGAGATTAAAAAAAATAGGGAAAAATAAGGAAAAAATTGGAAAAAGAAATAGAAAAAAAAAAAAGGGTTTAAAATAAGGAGAACAAAAAAACCAAAAAAAAAGGAAAATGAGAAAAGGCAAAAAGGTGCAGAGGACGGAGGCAGAGCCGCGTCCCGCCGAGCTGCGCCGTGGTAAAGTGTTGCCAAAGAGACGGAAATTAACGAGAGATTAATTGAGAGGAGGGGGG